TTTCTTTCTTTCTTTCTTTCTTTCTTTCTTTCTTTCTTTCTTCCTTCCTTCCTTCCTTCCTTCCTTCCTTCCTTCCTTCCTTTCTTTCTTTCTTTCTAATTCATGACAGAGCACATGCACACACACATGGGAGGGTGAGGGGCGAGTACCCTCTACAGGGTCTGATCATGCCACCAGCTCCTTCCTTTGCCCTCCAGCCCATTGGATCCTGGGCATTCATGCACATGCCCAGCATGTTTCCAGCTACCTAGGACAAGGATTTAAACTGTAGTGTGGGATCCAGCTTCTCTTGGGCAGCACATTACTATGCCATAGACCTGGCCGGTGAAGTACTAAATCTTTTAGAGAAACGTTCTATGAAATTGTGTATGCTGCTTCAACTATGCTGTTCACCATTGTAAACCCCTTTGAAGTTCATTCACTTAAAAATGGGCTGAGAGAGGCCTGTAAGGAAAAGATTCCGCCACTCTTTATTCATCCTCTGTATAAGACAAGAGTGTTAAGGAAATCGAAAGGAAGATAAAATGGAGCATCCTTATTATGCCTTGGGGATGAAGCAGTAACACAGCTGAACCCACATGGGAAAGGTCCTGAGTTCACATTCCAGAACTTCCCTCCGCATGCTGGAAACCATGATCTGGGCCTACTGGGACTGGAAGTGGATTGCAGCATTGGGACCCTGTCAGGAGTACCCCTCCACCTCTCTCTCTCAATAAGCAAACTTCACAAGGGGACTGATTAAAAAAATAAATAAAATACATAAATAACAAGATTTTAAGAAGTAGTTTCATTTTTCACAGGTAGTTAAGTGAATTTGGAAAGGACACGAAACAAAATGGGGGGGAAAACACAGCACAAAACAGTAAAAAATTATTTATAGTTATATATAAATATACATACAGATTAAAAAGCTCTAATGTGTTTATAATATTATCTCCAGTTAAGAAAATATAAATTATCCTTATTTTTGCTGCATGCTTTCTAGTTTTCCTAAATAAACTTTTTTTTCTTTAGATGTATTTATTTTGTTTTATTTGTTGTTATTTGACCAGAGAGAGAGAGAAAGAGAAAGTGTGAAAGCAAACCGCCAGGTCCAAGACTCAAACTGTGGTCGGCCATGTGGGAGCACCTTAACCACCATTACACCTGCCAGCATCAAAATAAACCTTTTTTTTTTTTGCCATAGGGCATGTGCACTCACTGTGGGGAGTGGTGATGGCCACATCACAGTCCCTTTTCCTTCATTCTTCTCTTGAGACGATGAGCAAGTATATACACGCACCGAGTGTGATTCCCAAGCTGCCAGGTCTAGAGCTTAAACCACAGTCAGCCACTGGGGAGCCCCAACTGCCATTCACCCTCTTGGCCCAATAAACATGTATCTTATAGTCAGAAAAGAAGTTAGTAAAATATAGTATGTAAAAAATACAACATAGATTTGTAAGGCAATGTAAAGTTCAAGAGAATGGATCAGTGGAGGAAGTAATCCCTTCTGAACTGTAGTGAGTACCCTTAAGGGGCCTAGAGAAGCAGTTAAATTTAGAAGGTGAAATAGGGGGACCAATAGATAGTGTAATGGTTATGTCACTGGTCTTCCACATAGGTATCTATGGCTCGAGTCCTGGACCTGGTGACTTAAAACTCATGTAGGGCTCATATGTGTGTGTGCCTAAAATCCCAAGAGAAGAGTGGAGGAAAAGGGGTTACAACATGACCATCTCCTGTCTCATGTGCGGGGGGAGGATTTCTCACTTTCTGTCTTTCTGTCTCTCTCTCCCTGGTGCCTGCACACACCTTATAGCAAAAATCTCTTTTTTTTTTTTTTTTAATTTAAGGGAAAGGTAGGAATAAGGGCATTCTTCCTAGATGGAACTGTCTGAGAAAAACACACACAAAGTGGAAATGTTGAATTCTGTTAATTCTATTAAGAGAAGTGAAGTTGTTTTTTAGTCAATATAGTGAGAGAGAAAATTTAAAAGTTCAGTTGAGAAAGTCCTTGAATACTAGGCCTAGCTTTTATCAAGCCAATTAGGAAATATTGAAGGTTTTTTAGCAGGACAATAACATGATTAAAACCCTTTTTCAAAAATTCTTCTGGAAGGCCGTAGGTTGGAGGCAGGAAAAACAACCATAAGTGAACTATAAATTTGTATATACACATACCTCAGAGATATTGCACATTTGATTCTAGACTCCTACAATATAGCAAATGTTACAGTAGAGGAAATCATGTGTTTTTTTCCCAATCCACATAAAAGTTATGTTTATACTATGCTGTAGTCTATTAAATGTACAGTAGCATTTTATCTAGAACAATAATGTACATACTTTAATTTTATTTATTCTTGTTATTTTTTCTTAATGGTTCTTGCCTTAGGGTGCATGCACTCACCAGAGAGAGAGACAGAAGGAAAATGAGAAATCACCCCCAGGGGCATAGCCACACTATTAATCCCTTCTCCCCACCCTCTTCTGGAGATCTTGGGCACACATGCACACATCTCCAGCGTGAGTTTCAAGCAACATAACCACTATGCCATCTGCTGGCCCACATACCTTAATCTTAAAATACTGCAGGTTGGCTATAGAGGTGCACAGATAGCACCACCACTTGGGAGTCAGGGTTCAGTTCCCAGGCCAATCTAAACACTGGGCATTGTGATGCATGCCTGTAACACTAGCTAATGAGGAGTCTGGGACAGGAGAATCACCGTGGTTAAGATCCTGTCCTATCTTTTTTAAAAAAACACTTTTCTGAATTTTCCTTTTATATTGTTGTTGTTATATTTAAGTTTGTACTGCTACTTTTTAATTAAAAATGTAAATTAACCAAAATTTTTAGTCACTGTTCAAGGATATGTATTTTTGGACAACCAGATTTATATTCAGATGTATGTCAGCTTACCAGGAAATTGGTCATATATTGAACATTATTAGCCATTCTGCAGCCGTGTGGGCGTGCTGACCTTAAAATGGGAAAAGGCCACAGTATGATCATCAGATCATCCAGTTACTCCACTGACGCCTGCTTAGCAACATCTTGTGTAGAATTAAGCTGAATACTAGAATCCCAAAGGACATAGTTATCCCTCTGTATTCTCAGTGGAGATATTTTATCAACAGAAGATTTTAAAACAACTAGCCTCTTTTTTCGTGAGTGGCAGCAGGATAAGATTCTGTGGTCGAGCCCCTAGAATTAACTTAGATTACTGTTAATTCACAGTAAGCAAAAGATAAGTAAATAAATTTGACCTGCTTTGTCAGGTCAACAGAGAACCACATGACCTATTTCCTTGATCATGCTAGTATGAATATATCTCTTACAATTCTGGATACCATCCACAAATTCAATAAAGAAAAAAATCCAAACATTGAAGTGGTAGTTAAAGCATCTTTTTTTTTATTTTAGCTTTTCTGATGACCATTTTACTCATCAGCTTTGCTTTCTCCTTTTCTGGCTTCTAGGCAGTAGTAATGTTGGGGACACACTCCCCACTGGGCAGCTGTCCAACATCCCATGGCGCCGGGCAGGGGTAAAGTACACAAATAACGAAGCCTATTTTGATGTCGTTGAAGAAATAGATGCAATTATAGATAAATCAGGTAATGATGTGCATATACCCTTCTTTGGGGAACAAATACATAAGCTGACACAAACTGAGTAGAAAATTGAGATCCGTTAGCAGTATGGTTTCCGCCAAAATGTGTTTGTTTCATAATGACTTACAAGTCTGTTTATTTTGCCCAGCAATTACATATAATCTTCACAAACACTGGGTGAGATCTGTCAAACATGATTCTTTAAGCCAGTTATTACCCTGTATACCTTTTATTTTTGCTATGTATTCATTTTAATATTTATTGTATCTTTTATATGCCATACTTTGTTTTTTAAGAATTATTCATTTAACTTTATTTAAAATAGTCAATTATTTATTTATTTTTATTTTTATTTTTTTTTTATTTTATTTGACCAGAGAGAGAAGATGAGAAAGTAAGCCACCAGGTCCAGGACTCGAACCATTGTCGGCCATATGGGAGTGTCCAGCACCTTAACCACCACACCACCTGCTGGTCCCCTATATACCATGCTTTTTCTATTACTATACATGTATTACATCTAGTAAAAGCACCCTTCTGATTTTGATTTTAGAGTTTTACGCCATAGAGTACATGCCCCATCTGAGAGAGAGACAGAGACAGTGAGAAATCACCACCTGGGGGGATGGCCACACTGCAATCCATTCTCCTCCCGGGATCTTGGGCATGCACTTGGTGTAATTCTGAAGCACCAGGTTCAGGACTCAAACTGCAGTGAGCCATCTGCCGGCCCCTCTGATTATATTTTTAACCAGACAAAACAATGATAACTCTGTTAAAATGGTACTTTCATAATTTTGTTATTAAAAAATCTCTGTTCTTACATTTTATATAGAAGGGAACTGGGGCTTAGGGAGATTAAAAGCTCAAGGTCACAAATCTAATTGATCTGTGAGGATGACTTACAATGAATTATAGCCAGTACATTTTCTTCAATGAGTGCTCTTTATAACATAACATCTTACAGAATAAAAGATCATGGCTCCTATTTCTTTAAAGTTAATAAGTAACTTAGTCAACTTCACAAGAAATGTGACTCATTTAAAAATAGTAATGAAAATATTTTAAGCTCATATCCAGTAGTCTTATAAACTTGACAGGAAAGTAAAGGAGACAGGTTTGATTTCCTCAGGATTATCATATTCCATCCAGGGTTAAGTACAGGCCATAGCACTCAGTGAAGAAGCTGTCTGAACTGGTGTAATGGATCCTTTGTACACTGACCTGTTAATAGAAGTGCAAAGCTTCAGTAAGTCTTGGCATCCAGGGGGTATCTCCATTTCTTCAGAAACAGTGATAGCACCAATAAAGACTCACATTTCATTGATATTTTCACTCTTTATTTCTTTCTTTAGGATCTACAGTCTTTGCAGAAATTCAGGGGGTCATTGATGCTTGCATTAAGCTATCTGGAATGCCTGATCTCTCTCTCTCTTTCATGGTAAGTTTTATTTTCCTGTTTTATAACCCCTTGCATACCTCATACATATAAAGTACTAAATAAAATGATAACTATCTTACATTGCAAAGGTTAATCTCAGAAATATTCCTAGCACAACTTTCCAAGACAGTAGCTTACATGATGAGCATGGCCTTTATGGAAAGTCTGAGGAAAGGTCTTTGTCTAAGAAGCTAGCAGTGACTTTAAAATGACTAGTTTATTTCTGTAAATCTCCAGTGTCCTTTTTTTTTTTTTTTTTTTCTATTTTGCCAGTGGGCACATGCACTTGCTGGAGAGTGAAAGCACTCCCCAACGGAGATTGCCATGCTCTAATGCCTTCTCCATTTCTCCCTCTTCTCAGGATTTTGGGCATGCATGCACATGTACCCAGCATATTTAAGCCATTGGTTCCAGGACTCAAACCATGTAGTCTCCCATTGGGATCCAGCTGTCTTAATCACTATGCCATAGGCTAGCCCTCCAGTGTCTTTTTTTGTTTTTTTAATTTGTCAAAGAGTATGTGAGCTTTCAAGAAATCAGGGGAGGGGACCAGCAGTTAGTGTAATGGCTATGTTGCTGGTCCCATGTAGTCGACCCTGGTTTGAGTCCCGGGCCCGGTGTCTTAAAACGCCGGGCACGTGTGCATGCATGCCCAAGATCCTGAGAGGAGAATGGAGGAGAAGGGATTGTGGCATGGCCATCCCCCCTGGGGGGTGATTTCTCGCTTTCTGTCTCTCTGTCTCTCTCTGTCTGGCGAGCGCACGCACCCTATTGAAAAAACCTCTCTTTAAAAAAAAAAAAAAAATCAGGGGAAGAGTGAGAAAGCACTCCCCCCATAAAGGATGGTCATGCTGTAATCCCTTTCCCTCCACTTATTTCTCCTTGGGATTTGGTCCACACATGCCTGACATGTTTTTTAAGCCACCAAGTTTGAGACTTGAACTACAAAGTCAACCATGTGAGATCCGGCCACTTAACCACTATGCCATGCCTAGCCTACTGTCATTTTTATTGAATAGTTATTTGCTTTGCTGACATAAAAGGACATTAGTCTTGTATTATTTAGACTCAGCATGACCACTGCTAAGAATGGAACTGAGTTCTGCTGCTGTCTTTTTCAACAATTTTATTCTGACATTAAGCTCTTTGAAACTCAGTTTTTTCCTCTATGAAATGGAAATAAAGCCACTAGCCTTTTTTCCCTCTTAGAGTTATTGAAATTAGAGTGAAATAATACATATAAAGTATTTGGAAACTTCAAAGCATTATAAACTAAGATTGTGTTGTGTTAATATGGTCATAATAAACTTACGTAACTGCTTCATCCTTAGGGAGCATATTAATTTCTTGTAATGTCTGAACAGAGTTGCCATATTCACGATGCTCAATGGCTACCGCTGTCTTCTGTCTTCTTGGCAGAACCCAAGGCTTCTGGATGATGTCAGCTTCCATCCTTGCATCCGGTTCAAGCGTTGGGAATCTGAAAGAGTTCTGTCGTTTATTCCTCCAGATGGAAATTTCCGACTCATATCGTACCGTGTCAGCTCACAAAAGTATGTTGATACAGCAGCCAGAATCTGCCATCATATATTAGTGTGCTGCATAGAACCTTTCCGTATTTCATTCTGACCGTTGGGTGTTTGAATTTATCATTGCTCATTTAAGCTACGGCTCAAAAAAAGACCCAGTGAACTTGTGAAAACATGTGCCTAAAATAATCAGTGTACTTCGAATCTAAGAGTAGTAAATGAGACTATAGTAAAATCTTCAGCTGAGATCAAGCATTTTGGATCATGCATAGCCTATGGCACCTGATCTGGTGCCATAATTTTACCATGGTCTGTCAACTTTGTGTCTAACAGTAGGCAGACCTACCTGTAGATCCCTGGAACACTCCCCAGCTTACCGAATCTGAGTCACTTTTTTTTGTGCATTGAATTTTAAAGAAACAATTTAGCATTGTGGGTTATAATTAGCCCTTCCCTCAAAAATATCAAAAGGCAGTGAGTGGGCAAACATCAGGACAGGACTCAAAAGCAGAGGAACTGTTTCTTAAATCTTATCACATAGGAATTCTTTTAGTTTGTGTAATTTTAGATTATCTTTGAATTCATCATTTCTTTAAACTAGGGCTATTTGTCCCAGTAAACATCAGGTTTGTCTTGATCTATATACTTGTCACATGAAATTGTACAATTCCTAGCACAGTGGTAAAGACATGATACTCAATTCCCCTTGTGCAGTTGTCAAATCTGCAATTCTAGAGATATATAGCCCTATTTTGGAGTTAGAAGTAGAGGGGGATACTCTGGACTGAGGTTTTTAGGCCACCTCTGGAGCTGTCCTATACCAGTAATTGTGTATGTGCTTTTATGTCTGTCTTGTCTTTTTTCAGTTTAGTGGCAATACCAGTATATGTGAAACATAGTATCAGCTTTAAGGAAAACAGTTCTTGTGGGAGATTTGATATAACAATTGGACCAAAGCAAAACATGGGGAAAACTATTGAAGGAATCACAGTGACAGTTCACATGCCAAAAGTCGTGCTGAATATGAACCTGACTCCAACACAAGGCAGCTATACATTCGATCCAGTCACCAAGGTACAGCCACTTCAAATCGAGAGTGAGCAAGTGTTTCTGCAATCTCTTTTGTGATTTGGTGGGCAGGGACAGAAGGAAGGGTATAGCATCTTGTTTAAAATTCCTATTAAAACCTGTAGAGTCTACTGTGCTGTGCTTCTGCCACCAACTAGAGAGGGAATCCTGTGTCTGCTACTGAGTAAATGAACAGAAAAGCGAGACTCATTCTGGCCTTTCAGTGGTGCCTTTATTCATCCACTGATATTCTAGATTCCCTCAGCTATCTAAGAAAATATTGCTCTACTCTATTATTTATTAATTTTTCTATGGAAATTGATCAGGACTCCCTTTTTTTTCCCCACTTTTAATTTAAAACATCATTTCATACTCTTCCACAGAGGGTTTTGGCTAGGAAAGCTGCTTCTTTGCCCTACTTAAATATTCCTCTACCTAAGGATTTTCAAAGAAACTACAAAAGATCTCTATCAGCGTTCTGGTTTGGTAGAAAAGTACGATTGTTGTCCTTTATTTTTTAATTATCAGAGGGTGGATGCATTCACTAGAGAGAGGGAGACTGAGAGAGAAAAAGCACCCCCCTGTGGGCAAGCATGCACATTGCACCTGGCGTGTTTTCAGGTTGCCATGGACTAGGATTCACACCATGGTCATCCACATAGGCTCTGGCTCCTTTTAACCTTGAGGCTACGAGGCTATCCGTAAAATATAGCTTACAACAGCATAGTCAGTGAGCTGCCTAATAAATGAAAAGGCATGGTTTTGAAAAAAGCCATAGAGTGTTAAAATCCTCTGACCTAGTCGTGAGGATTCAAAGAACCTACACAGAGACCACACAGGGCTAAGAAATGGGATCTCCAGGTCCCTGCCCATCTCCCTAGCTTCAGTGATTCATTTTCTCATCTATTATAGAGCTTCCACACGAAAGATTTCATTTGAGCAAAAGGTTCCATAGCTAAAAATTGTAAAATACCAACTTAAGTCAATTCTCACTTTACAAAAATATACAAGCTCAGACAAAAATCACTGGAGGTAGTATAGGGGAAAGAACATGTAAATCAAATTGCCCTAGGTTTAAATCTCAACCTTGCCTCTACCTAGCTGTATAACTTGAATAAATCATTTGATCTCTCTCAGCATTCATTTCCTCATTTGCAAATAAAAAACAAAATCTATTTCACAAGCTTCTATGAGATAACATGAATAGTGCTAAGCACAGTGCTATATCAAAAGTAAATGCTCAGCGAATGTTGATTCTCCACCCTTCTCCCCATTCAAAAAGTCACACAGTTAATTAGTGGTAAACTGAGTATAGATCCTAGGTATCTTGCTTCTGGAACACTGCACTTCATTTATTATGGAAGTTTATGGTGTTTTGAGACTGTCTCTGGGACTAGCAGTTGGCATAATGGCTATGTCGCTGGACTTCCATGTATTTGACTGTGGTTCGAGTCCTAGACTCAGTGGCTTAAACTCATCCCAGGCGCATGTGCATCCGTGCCCAAGATCCCAAGAGGAGAATGGAGAAGGGATTGTGGCATGGCCATCCCCCCTGGGGAGTGATTTCTCGCTTTCTGTCTGTCTGTCTTGTCTTTCTGGTTGGTGAGCACACGCCCCCTATAACAACCCCCCCCCAAAAAAAAAAGACTTTGTCTTTAACATACAGTTCAAATTGATTTTGATTTTATGTCTTTTTAAGATACTAACATGGGATGTGGGAAAAATTACTCCACAAAAGCTCCCAAGTCTTAAAGGACTGGTAAATTTACAATCTGGAGCACCTAAGCCAGAAGAGAATCCAAGTCTCAACATTCAGTTCAAGATCCAGCAGCTTGCTATTTCAGGTAAGGATAAGCCTGATTTGTGTTTAAGGTTTCCTGAGTGGTGCTTTACTACTAGAACCTTCTAAGAGTGACAAACACTCCCTCTCTAAAAAGAGCAATAGCTCCGATTTACTTTTTATGCTATGCTATAGGACCAACCTCTCAAGCATCAATTATTTTGAAGAGCACCTTATTCCATACAGCTTCCCCTCACCCCTACCAGCACTAAAGATGGAATCATTCATATTCACACAAAATAAATTTATACATAACAGGTATTTCCTGTTCCGTGGGAACCTGTTAACTAAACCATAGTGCAATAATTTGGGAATGGCAGGGGGGATATGCTTCCAAATGATGGAAAAGATACCAGTTAATGTCAGAGTTACTGTGTAATGCTTATTGTGAAATATTTTATGAGTTGCTGAGACCAAAATGATAATTTATTCCTTTCATCTTTTTTGACACAGGCTTAAAAGTAAACCGCTTGGATATGTATGGGGAGAAATACAAGCCATTTAAAGGAGTCAAATATGTCACGAAAGCTGGAAAGTTCCAAGTGAGGACATGAGAAGAGGCCAAAATTCCTCAAGATCAGTTTGTTTCCCTAGTGTCATTACAATTTATGATTATTAGGTACCAAGTGGGTGGGAAATCAGATTCTAGTTAAAGCATTTGTGTCGAGCTACACACCACTAACAGAGTTGCTTAGTAATCAATGTAGGGTTCTTAAGGAGCTTTAAGCTAAGGAAACTTTTCCAATGACTTAGCTTATTTTGTATCTTTTCACTTAAGATTTTCAAAGTGATTTATTCCATAGGGGTACCAGCTGAATGCTGCACATTTTGACAGTAAAAACAATAGGCCACAGTGATAACCTCTCTCCTAAAACGAGTCAACTGGTCTCATCCAGCAGGAACTGTTTCAGTCTGTAATGAGATGTATCAGGTGCAGCAAATATTATACCTTCTGATCTTAGCCAATCCAAATCAGTATCTGTTCCAACAGAGGAAATTCCCCCCACCCCAAGAAGTTTACAAAACAACTGCCTCTTCAAGTGTTTGCCTTATTCAGCTTTTCACTTGTGCCATTAAGCAAGCACTGTAGCAAAAGCCACTTCCACATGGCCCTGGCCAGGAGCTCTGTTGCTCCACGCTCCATTCTCATTGCACTTGGTATTGTATTTTTTTATAAATAAGATTTTTACATAAAGCTCAGATTTTGATTTACAGGGACCTTGCTGCAGTAAATACCATCTCAAGTTTGTGCCACTGGTTTAGCTGTTAGCACAGTAAAAATCATTTGTTTCAAAGGGGCAAATGCTTTAAGGTGATAAAAGGGAACACTACTTCTGCTTTTAGAAAGTTATTGCAAGCACAAGCATTTGCGCTTTTAAGCAAATTAAAGTAGTAAAATAGGTAACTTAGTGAAGCCTTTGTTATCTTCCAGTTTTATAAAGCTTATCCACCACCATTAAATCATAGCCCAAATGCCTCAGCAAAAAGGAGGAAAATGTGCCTGCCTCACTATCATCAGGCTTCTTTTAATTCTTTTGCTATTTTCCTTAAAGAGTTGGATTTGCCTGCATTCCTTAGGGAAGAGAATTCCCTTTTCATATAATGCTTCCTAATGCGATAGTCATAGACTCATGGACTCCTTCTTTAAACTGCTGTCCCTAGAGTACTTAAATGTCTTTAGTATACTAACAAAGTACAAGGAAGAACATTATATTGAGTCAGAAACAAAATCCTCAGTATCATAGATGATAAAATACTGATCATCATGGTTAGAAATTCAGTCTACAGTTTTATCATCTCACTCAACTTAATTGGCTTGGTAGTCTAGTCCTGGCCCAGTTATTTTGCCACGTTAGACTTGGAGAAATGGAGAGAGACTGAAAGTCAAAATTGTTGATTCTTCATGTTTCCTTTTTATTCATGCTACTGGTTTTCTTTTCCTTGTGATCCCATTCTTCTTGCATTCTTATTTATAACTTTTCTTTTTATCATGCTAAGGATAGCCCTTACATTCATCCCATTTATGCTGTTAATGGCTAGTGATTGGTGCTGGTACAGGGAGCCCAGTATAGACCAGCGTTCTTACCTTTGCCGGCCTAGGGCACCCAGCTGCCTTTCATCCATTAAGAAGAGCCATTTTTTGCAACTTAAAAATATCTAGAATAACCATTCTCAGTTTGGCAGCTGAACTCAAAATGTTGCCAGATATTTATTCCTTTTCCATGATGTTGGTTACCCAATTCAATTGCTTTGGTTTTCTAATGTCTTACTCTTTAGAATTCTTACCTCAAAAGAACAATCAGAACATTTGCTTGTCTTTCTGCAAATCCCTAATCTCTACCCCTGCTCATACCTGGACATCCAGTTTTCCTCCTATGCTATCTTTTCTTATATCCAAACAGAATGTATGCCAGGAGTCCCTTGCCTCTATCAATTTCTGCTAAAATATCCAAGCAGGCTGTTTTCTCTTACAATTAAATTATTATATAAATTAATTTGATTGAATCCAATAAATCCTTCCTCTAGCTCTGGATATACTGTCAATAAAAGATGAAAACAAGTTGATTTTTTTTTTTTTGTAGTTTTACTGTTGATTAACCATTCTCAGATGGGTAGTTGCAGCTGGTTGTCAGAGCATGATCAGATTTTCCTCTGTATCACTGTGTCTTAGTTGCTACAAAATACTTCTAAGGACTTCTACTCTAACCTCATTGTGTTAACAACCATTCTTTCTTTAGGCCTCACCCTTGTGGCCACAGACAAGAGACAAAATAAGATCATCAAAGCTAGCTTCCCTACCACCACTTGCCAATAACAAAGATCCATGAATACTTAATAGTAGAATATTTTTCAAGCACAGAGTTCCAGCTCATCCCAGAATACCTTTTCTTAACTTTTTTAATGGTAGCACACACACACATATTCAAGAGAGAAAAGTACCCTTAACAGATCATGCTGTGATTTCTTCCAGCCCTCCAGGTTCCTCAGGATTGTAGATGTCTATCCATACACCTGGAATGTTTTTAGGCCAGCCCAAGAATTTGAACCCATGGTCTGCATATGGGCTTCAGCCTTGCAAGGGCACTTGCATTACTGCTGCACCAGTGGCTGAGCCTCCTTTTTTTCTAAATTCTTAAGGGAGCATGTCCCATGAACAAATGAAGTAGATGCTTATTTTCTGCTTGGGGGAGTCATTATTTTATTAAATGGATTGTTTCCTTAAATAATGCTATATAAGAACCCTTGGAAGACGCTGGTCTTAGGCCAATGGCATGGTGGTTAAGGCAGCTGGATCTCATATGGCCAATTGCGAGTCCTAGACCTGGCAGCTTAAAACATGTCAGGTGTGGGTATGTGTGTGCATGTCTAAAATCCTGAGGAGAATGGAAGAAAAGAGATTGCAATGTGGCCATCATTGCCCCTAGGGGTGCTTTCTCACTTTCCTTTCCCTTGCTCTCCGGTGAGTGCTCAAACACAATAGCACCAAAATAAAAAGGTGGCGGGGGAGATGCTGGTCCTGTCCCTACTGGTAACTGATTTGAGAAAACAGGTAACTATTGGGTCATCGGAAAAGTCATGATATATTTTTCTTTGTTTTTCCATACAAAATGCATTATGTCTTTTTCTAATGACCCAATATACTGTAGTGAGAAGACAGTACAAGTGAATATATGTTTAATTGCAAAAATAAGTCAGGTTTCAAGACCGCTGAGCTAATTCAATAGCCTTGGACATTTCCCTTTAACTCAAGCAGGCTGGGATCTACTTCTGTGGTCAGCAGCTTTCCTAGGGCAAATCAGTATAAATGCAGTTAGGAACATCAAATAGCATCAGATTTAGAAAAAGCATGCAAATATATTCATGTCCCAACTCTACTCTTCTTTTTTTTTTTTAATTTGGTGTCCTGGGCTTCCTGATTCAGACCTGGATACTATTTTTCTTATTTTTTTAAAGAATTATTCTACTTTACTTTTTTATTTTAATTTGACCAGAGAGAGAGAGGGAGGGGGAGGGAGAGAAAGTAAGCCACCAGATCTGGGACTCAAACCGCAGTCAGCTATGTGGGAGTCCAGCGCCCTTAACCACTGTGCCACCTGCCGGTCCCAATCCCAACTCTACTCCTAAAATTTGTTCATATCCTAAGCAAGAAGAAAAGTATTTTTCCAAAACCTCTGCTTCATAGCATTGATGGATCCCTGACAACCGTGCTATTCTATACTGGGCTTTGGAATATAAAAATGGACCTGTGGTACTCCTGCACATTGAGTAACTTCAGCTTTTACAAATAGCTTGAATCTTCTTAAGATGAAGACAGACTACTTCACCAGGGGTGATCCACATCATCTGGCTCTCAGACGACTGTTAATCTTTGTCATTTCCACTCCAGTATATGATCCCAAAAGTTGTCCTGTCACACAGATCCTTGTTAAGTAAATATACTATTGTTGTAGATTCTACTTCTTCCAATAAACATTTGGATTAAATAAAAATCTTTATAGATCCCGAGGATTAGTTTTATTGGCTATTCTTCAAAAAGAGAAAACTGAACTAAGATACCCCACATTTATACAAATGCATTTTATTGTTTTAAACAGAACAAAGAAGAGGCAGAAAATAGTTGCATATAACAAATCATAGCTTATAAATGTAGTTTTTTAGTGGTGACATCTCTAATCATCGTTCAGGGACTTTTTTTTTTTAATTTGCTTGTTTCTTCATGGACATTCGAGAAAAGCACATCTGGCGTAAAGTGTAAACCAGTGGCTCAAAACACTGGAAGGACTTGGAGAGCAAACATGACTTTTCTTATTTTCTCTAAATAATCTTGAGTAAAACAGAAGGTGATCTTTGGCATAGATTCATCTTTAAAGGCATTAATATTGCATTTAAATCAAGTTAAGCAACTATACAAATATGCTGAGGGCCTTGAAAATAATTTTCATCAGTTAAAAGGAAATAGAGAAAGCTTGAGTGTACAGGACCAACTTAAGACAAGTTTTACACATTCAGTGGGATCTAATACACACTGGAGGTGGGGAGGCAGGACATTCAGGCAAGGGTTCTCACTATACTCATCTGAGAAATATGGTTTCATGTGCTGGTTAATGCTCAAACAGCAGTGATTAAGTGCATAAAAGAGAAAATTGCCTTTTGTCACTTTGCCTAATAGTAAACTTCATATGATAATAAGTAGATATTAATATTACACCCATTACTCTCTTGAACAATCGTACTTAAGAGAAATAAAAGGGACTCAGTTGTAGCTGGATTGAAGGAAGGTAGGAATTACGGCGTAGTATTTCCCACTGATTCATCCCCAGCAGCACCAGAATTCTAATCTGGAAAAACCACTCTCTCTTAGGGAGTATCCTTCAGATAGGATTTCTCTTCCATTAAACATCTCATAGGGCAAGCAATAATTCTTAGGAATGAATTTAAAAATTTTTTTTCAAAATACAGATAACTAAATATCTTTAAAATCTTATTTAGAAAGGGTGTTAGGGAAGACTACAAAGCCAGGATAGGAGACATGGTTTGGTTTAAAAAATTAAATGCAGCATTTCAGCTCAGAACAATTAAGAACTAAGAATGAATGATAAGGCCTCAGCACAAACCTGCAGGCAGTGACAAAGCTTGGGGTACCTGGGAGTGGCCCCACTGAGAGGACAGACAGGGCCACACCCTGGCTACTCTGCCTCTCCAGTGGCAGAGAGCACCAGGACACACAATGTGTGCGGGGAAGGGTGTCTACCTTGGCAGGCCGAGGCAGGATGGGGATGGCAAGTTTTCCTAGGACAGACATTACTCAGAGGCATGGTAAAGTCAGAATTATGTAACTGTGATTTCCTCTTAACAGTGAAATTTGGTTTTATACTCTGGGAAAATAGAAGGATTAAACTGGGGAAGGGCAGGACATGAATCCAGGACCCATATGCTGAGGCTCTCCAAGGCCACATACCCCTGCAACAGCAAGGCTAATTCTGAAAAGGACCCAGATAGCAGTCCAGAGAAGGCAGGTGGGGAAGCCCAAAGCAGTTTTTGGAAGCACAGTGATTTCCTTCTTAACTGACTTGCCTGGGCCCTGGATCTTGGAAGCTTGGAGAAGAGAATCAGGGCCAAGGAAAGGGAAACAGTGAAGGAAATGTTCCCTAGGGAACACGGGGAGTGCAGGGGATCTGGCTAGTGTTCATTCTTGAATTCTGAGCTTATGTGAAGTCCATGGGCTAGAAACCCAGTCCACTTATTGGGATACATGTGCACGAGTATAACTGTTAGAGAATACAGGCTTTATACGGAGACACATTTCAAAGTGTCATGACAAAAGAATAAATGTTTTCTAATGTGAAGAGGCCTCCATTCCTTTCTGATGTGAGGCCAGGATGTGGCTTTCATTCTCCAGCAACTCTGGGTGGCTCCTGGGACTCATCATTTCCTTCTGTTTTGTAGGGGCTTCTGTGCCTGCCAGGTTCAGCTAAGTGCCTACTGGTACCAGGGAGTCTTTCTAACCCAGCGCAGTGTAAATCCAGCATCTGTTCGAATTTTGATTGAAGCAGCTTCTGCTTCTCGCACAGTCTCCTTCACAGACTGCATGAGGTTCTGGGCGTTGTGAACCAGCATTTCTGTGGCCTACAAAAAAAGAGGATCTCTCCGTTACTCAGAGTCCCAGACACAACCCTGCCTCCAAAATAGGTTAGGCCAGGAACGGACTATACTTGCACCTCACATCCCCTTATATTTGCTCACATCACTGGTGGCTTAGCTGGATCTCACCAAAAAGAACCCAAAACTGGACTGACCATTACTGATTCTGTACTGTGCTTCCAGAGGGCCTATAGCATGCACTCTTTTTTGGTCTTCAAACATGATCTTCTCTAAGGACTTAGCTGTTCCCTCTACATGGAATGCTCTTCAGGGTGTCCCATGGCTCCTCTCCCACCTCCAGATCTTTTCCATCTTTGCTCCTGTTTGGTTAAATCACAAACCATCTCCCAAACTCTCAGCATTCTTCATCCTTTAGTTCTTTCTTTATTTTCTCCATAGAACCCATCATCACTAACTGATACACTATATATTTTACCTAAGCTATCTATCTGTTCATTTATTGTCTCCAGTAAAATTTAAGTTCCATGGGGCAGAGATTTTTGTGAGTTTTGTTTACTGTGTTACCCCTGTGTGTACTACAGTACCTGGCATTTCATAAACATTTAATGGATTAAAAAAAAAAAAAAGAACAAACCAACCAAGTAACCAACCACCTTATAAATCCATAAAAATCTAAATTAAGTTAATCTTTCAACACCAAACTAGACCTGAGATCACACTGGTACTCAACCTGAGTCAGGAAACTTAGCAACTGATTATCCCTAGAATTCTTAACTATTTTCAAGTCATTGATTACTTGAGGATTTAACAAAGGCCATAGATTAGTCCCAGAAAAAAAACGCAAACGCAAAAAATTTGTTCATGCAATTTCTGAGGATTCAGAGGTTCTAAATGGTGTAGCTATGAACTAGAAGTCTTCATCAGGTCATTTTTTCATCTTGGTCGACAAAGTAACTTACCCCCAGAGAGGTTTGGAGACTTACCAACCAAACTCATACAACAGTCAGGGTGAGCACTTCTGTCTTGTAGGCCTGTGTTTTTCTATTCTCCCAATCAGTTTCTACCTTTTTCTTATTAGAATATTTACGGAACACATGTAGATATTCCCAAGATACATTTTTTTAATTGGTTAATTGATTAACTATGAGTTAATTAGGCCTCAAGCTCTGAGTCTTATCCTTCCTGGCTTTTCTTTTCCCTTGCCTTTCTTTGGGCAAAAGATCACATGACAGCAGACCAGTCTAGTGCCCAAACCCCACTTAGAATATATGGGAGTTAGTGGTGCAGTTTCCACAGTTTGGGAAAAGACAGGGTCAGGGTAAGATCTTAGAAAGAATATGGTAGTAGAAGCAATAGTAATGGCACCAATAGGGGTAGTGTCCCTTTTTCCTCTAATGTGCCCCTAGCTATCATTTCAATCTCAGCACTGGCGTAACCACCTCCTGTCCCTCCTGTCCCTCCTGTCCCTGAGAAGCCTGTACTACTCATCTTCCCTGAGGCCTCATCACCCAGAGAGCTGGAAAACAGACTTTCTCTCTAGTCGAAAGACAGCGGGAATGAACAGGCACTGGAGTCCTGTAGAGCCAAACCTATTCCAGGGGAAAACAACTGAGAAGAATCCTAACTGCCACTGATTCACAGTGTTACTTCAGACACAACCACCCTACACTTCAGTAAAATGACAAAAGTTGCACAAGAGCATTATTTCTAATTCCAGATTTTTGAGGCATAATAACCTCCTAGAGCCTAAGAGCTTGACCCACATACTTAATATTTTAATCAGAGGTAAAATGTCTCCAAGCCTGAATTAAACTGCTGCAAAATGGGACAGAAGCTGTTGGCAAAATCATAAAAGCAGCAAGACACATACCTGCTCAGACTCCTCGTCACTGATGTTGGTCCGACCCAGCATGGTGGCTTTCACTGTGGACAGGATTTTGAGCTGGGTACTTATGGTTGGGATTCGCTCACAAACCTAAAGAAAAAGTTGAAGTTGGTATGTTTCCGTGTATGCTTTGCCTGCAAGCTCTTTGAGGGCAAGACATGTATCTCCCTTTGTATTCCCAGTGGCTAGCCCACGAAACGTATTCAATAAATTAGCAAGAAAATTCTACCTGCATTCTTCCTAAGATAAGTACAGCCCCTTTGTCCAGAAGTGGAGGCATTTAAATCCTTTCATTTGACAAAAATAAACCTTCCTGAATCTGTGTTTTCAAAATGCACGTGTGTATTTCTCTTCTCTGCTATTTCTTCCCCCGTCCATGTACTGTTTCCTCCCCTACTCACCCAGTGTTCTCACTTCTGCTTTTCTCCCTTTCACATCCCTCCCTTTCCCTCACTGTCTCTATCTCTGTCTCTCTCCCCCTCTTCTCTCTCTCTCTCTCTCTCTCTCACACACACGGTCTCTTTTCCCAAGTACCTGTAAGAGGTTGGTTCTAATCCGCTTATCTGTGCACTGTTTGGCAACCTCCTTAGCCAGTCGAGTCACTTCATCTGAGGCCTTGGCGATGTCCTTGGCACACTGAATGAGTGCCCGCTTCGTACCACTGCCCCCTCTTACCAGCCGAGACATCTCGGCCATCAGCAGAGCCATGCGCTTGGCTGCTGCAATGATGTCATTTCCCTAGAGAGGAGCAAAGATACAGCATGAGCTCTGCCCACACTCGGGCCAGGTGAGGAAGGAAGTAGAAGCACAGAGAGGAGGAGGGAGCCTGCTGTAGCAGCCAGCCTCTGGAAGAGTGAGAAGAGGATAAAAAGACCATTCCTGATATAGGTTCACTCTCTCTCTCTCTCTCTCTCTCCCCCTCTTCTCTCTCTCTCTCTCTCTCTCTCTCTCTCTCTCTCTCTCTCTCACACACACACACACGGCCTCTTTTCCCAAGTACCTGTAAGAGGTTGGTTCTAATCCGCTTATCTGTGCACTGTTTGGCAACCTCCTTAGCCAGTCGAGTCACTTCATCTGAGGCCTTGGCGATGTCCTTGGCACACTGAATGAGTGCCCGCTTCGTACCACTGCCCCCTCTTACCAGCCGAGACATCTCGGCCATCAGCAGAGCCATGCGCTTGGCTGCTGCAATGATGTCATTTCCCTAGAGAGGAGCAAAGATACAGCATGAGCTCTGCCCACACTCTGGCCAGGTGAGGAAGGAAGTAGAAGCACAGAGAGGAGGAGGGAGCCTGCTGTAGCAGCCAGCCTCTGGAAGAGTGAGAAGAGGATAAAAAGACCATTCCTGATATAGGTTGCACTGAAAAAAGAGACAAGAGTGAGCCAGGGCACTTGCCCCAGCACAGAAGAGAAAAGGGGAAGAAAAAGAGATACATCTCCTGACTAAGAAATATGACGACCTGGAAATTAGTCTGAAAGGACATATGTGCCCTAGGCACAGCACCGAGCAAGCACTTCAGCATCTCCAGGTTAAACATATCAAATAAATGGGAAAAGGTCAAGGAATTAGTTAAACAAGACATTTTCATTTCTATAGGGAGAAAGCAGTAGAGCTGGCCCAAGGAGGAAAATACAGAGGAGCTAAATCATCCTCTTCATTCTTACCCTTGTTGCAAATAGCAGCCAAGGACTCTCACTTCTCAACTAGAATTTAAAACCCAAGTAACTATTCTCAGCCTGGGTGAGAAAAAAAGACATTTTCTCATCTAGACTGCTCCAATCCTCCCTTTACTGCCTCATTTTTCCTGTCAGCCTGAAAAAAAAATAAAGGTATTTTTTCACATGTAAAATCAAGAATCAATTCTTCAGTCCCCGCAACTAAGTAAGGCCTCCAATTAAAGAAGCCTTTGGCCAAGAGCATGCCATAGAAGGCATTGGGAAAATAAAAATCATGAGTTAGATTGTAAGTAGAAGTTCTACAACTAATAGCAGTTAATCTGAGATTTGGTGTTTTTCTTCACTAAAACCCTCATGGATCATAATAAAGATATATACAAGTAATTTATTTTATGCCCTCAAAAGGCTTATCTTTTGGCTGATAAGAACCCAAAATAATAGCACCTGCCATGTTCGAAAGTACCTAAAAGGCCAAGCCCTACTCATTTTTCCCCTCATGCTTTTGGGATTCTGTACAAAGCAGTGAGGCATACGCAAACCATGTCACTGCAGGGTGCTCTGTGAGAGACCGCCACAGGCACCATGAAGTGGCTGATCATTTATGCTGGAAAGTGTGTAACATCTCAGGCAGTAATTAGGGCTGGAAAGAACACACACAGGTATGGGAAGACATCATGAGGCAAGGGGTGTATTAGATAAGGCCCTCTGGGACCACTTCCAGAGCGGACCTACGATCATTTTGGGATTTCATGACCTTGGTTAGAAGAGAGCACAGTGCCAGAGTTAGTAATTACCCATCACTCTTCAAACTCTTGCAGCATGCCACCTTTGAAGGGAAAAAAGTGATTACCCCCATTCTCCTACTCCCCAAACTAGCTAGGGTTCACTCCCCAATGCCAAAGCTCTATTGCTGTCTGTCCTGCATCCTCATCCTCTCCCTCAGAGACACCTGGAAAAGCAGTCATGAGACTCCCTTCTTCGTGGGCTCCTATCAAGGCCAGCATCTGCCACATAGCCAAGTGCAGGGCAGCAAGCAGTCCTCCCCAGAGATTCTGCCATATTAAGCTGTTTCTCACCCTGATCAACTGCCTGAGCCATAAGTGAGAGGTCAGTGGCATGCAGGCAAAGCCCAGTGGTCTGGTCAGGTGACCTCTTAATGGTCCACAATGGTTCCTGACCTGGAAGTCATTGAGAGGCATCCATGGCTTCCCAAGAGGTTTAAAGTCCCAACAAATGCTATAAGGTCACTAAGAAAAGGAATCCTTTTAAAAAGGAACCCCATCTTTCTTTATCCTCCAGTCATAAATGCCATCCAATTAATATGGCATTAGCAGACCTGTCATACTTGTGAAGCCAGTCCTAACCGCAAGGTGCAAAGAGATGCCCACCCTGCTCAGACTCACAGAACCCGCACAGATCATGAGTGATGCAATGTGTCAAGGCTGCACATGGCGGGATGCATTTGGAGCAGCCCCCAACTAGGGGTGCAGATCAGTACCTTACTAGACCACTTGGTAGCTTCCCGATGCAAGGACTGAGCCGCGGCCAGAATGGGTTGGTTGACCGGCTGATTGGATGGCATTAACAGCAGCTCAGGTTCGTAATCGTCTTCCATGTCAGGGGGGAGAGGGAACCCAACAGCATCGGCCGCATCTGCCTCAGCTACACCACCTATACCCACCTCAGCGGCTGGGATACCCGGCTTTGTCGATGGCGGGAAGGACGAGAAATGGGATAGTGTTAGTAAGCACAGTAGGACTTGGGACAGTGAGCTTCGGCTGGTTTAGTAACCAAAGCTTGCCTAAGATGTGAAAGAAAATGGCATACTCTCCAGGAGCCAGATGTACCAACTTCCACAGAAGGGAGACTCTCAGCATCCAACACCACTCAGCCCAAGCTACCTTTGTGGTGAGTAAGGAAAAGGGACTCGCTCTGATGGCACAGGGTTTCCTAAGAAATATTTACACCAAAAAAAAAGAGGCATTTATTTGTTATACATTTACTACCAAAGTTCATCTTGACAGGAGTAATTCTCGTCAGAATATTTTTAAGGAGACAAACAACTAAACAATAGTAGCTATTCCTTAGAAGAAGTCCAGAGGAAAACATAAATGCAGCCACACAAATTGCTTTGAACAGAACAAGGTGAATGCCTGCTGGATCATACAGTCACTATTATACATGGTCTTGGGAAACAGGAACTGACATTGGTCAGTTTTACAGCTGTCACAGTATTTCCTTCATGAATTAAAAGTCTCAGAGGGTTCAGGTGGTGGCACAGTGGCAATGCAAGAGGACCCATATGGGTAAGGTCCTGGGTTTGTGTCCAGGGACCTCCCTGAGCTCATTGGGCACTTGCACACATGCCCATGATCCAGGCCAGGTGAGATGGAGTGGATCACAGAGTGAAGATCCTGTTGGGGCTACCTGTCTGCCTGCCTGCCTGTATGTCTGCCTGCCTGTCTGTCTGTCTCTCCCATGGCAGAAATAAACAAGCTTTTAAGGGTTGGGGGGGGGGG